GCTTTAATAGTCTTTCGAAGGTGGATTTCTGACTCAGAACGAACTGATGGGCTAGGTATTGTTAATTTATTAGATTAAAATTGCGTATTGAAATTGGGGATGTGGATTTGGAAATCAATTCAGGTTTAATAGTTGACATTTGATGGGCATATTTTATTTGACCACAAACGTTTCAATAAAAACTAGTCAAAACCCAAATTAGACTTCAGCTTTCAAAAGGGTAATGGTGTTCATTTCATATTAGATCGAGTGCAACACGTAACAGTAACTTATTGTGTTAGCTATGTTTAATGATTAAATAGAGAGATTTAAACAGAGACTATTAAATATGAATTCAAAGTTGTAAAAGGTTGAGAATTAAGCTTTAGAGAGATTTCAGATGTTGATACAATACTGATGGCTTGATGATAGAAATTATTGCTAATGAAAATTACTGAAAGGGAAAAAGAAAACATTGAAGGGAGAAACTAAACGAGTAGCCAAAATTTAATTTAGGAGGGGCCAAATAGATGAAATTCTGGCACACTACCCACGAAAAATAATGTGTGTTTAAAATAGAAGACGACCTAGAACATGCATGCGTAACCAAAATAAGAAAACAACAATTCAGAACTGAGACAACAAAAAAAATATATTTTAAGAGTTCAAAAAAAATATTAACAAAGATATACATTGATCTTAAACAGTAGAAGACAAGTCTTTGGAGGAGTGGAGGGTAAAAGATTGAATTCTCAAATTAGCAAACCCCTCTGCAAACAACCCCTCTATATACGAAGACCAACCTGAACATTAATACACAGTCAAATAGTTCATTGCAACCGAGCGCACTTCTGTAAATAACGATGGAAATGTGCAGGTAGATTCGGTATGTCAAAACTGACAATTTTATCATATATTTTATTAAGAGATAATTTGGTCAAATAAGTTTTGAATTTTCAGAAAATCTTTTAGCTAAAAAAATCTCACGTTAAACAGCAAACTATATATATATATATATATATATTTATTTTTTTTTGTTGACACAAATTACTTAGGAGCCAGCTTAGACTTCCCAAGGAGCAATTCGCTCCATTATCAATCTGCTTTACCTAATTGTGAAGGCAGACGTCTTTGACTCGAATCCTATTGACGTTTTACCAAAACAGTAAACGGGGGAAAGCCATCCCAAAAGAGCAACCATAGCACGCCGCAGAGGCAATTTTAAGTGGGTCAAATTTCCCACTATTCCAACCAGTAACACCCACTTCAAAAAAGGTACTTAGAAAGCCTCATTGCTAAATGACTGAAAAGACTAAATTGTAGAAAGCAAAAACACTCTTTACAAAATGTTTTCTTATGAAACGATTACAACCTCACTCCAAATCTGAGACCCAACGATTTCCTCGCTTAATATTATTACAATGGCAATTGGCAAACGACCCTCTACTTTTTCTGTTCGCTTCAATGTCCATTTGAAGGTCGGAATACAGTATAGCCATTGACACCACAAGCCAAATTTGAATACTCTGGACTAAAATATGGATAACCATCACCATCACCATTCCTCATGCCAAGTAGGGTCATATCAGAACCAGTCATTTGCCAGTGGCTTGGTATCAACCCATCTATTTGCCCATTAGCGTAGGGTAGAGTAGCTGTTTGAGGAATAAACTCCCTAACTGACTCAAAAAGGTTCCCAGAAGAGCTATAAGCCCTCTGAAATGCATCATCATGGTAACTTCTTGTCCTTTCAAACCTGCACGAAGCAGACGAAGGTCCTACCTCACCTGAAATGCCAACTTCCCCAGGAAATGAATACTGCCGATTTAGCAGATGTGGCCCATTGGTGAATGACTGGAAGACACTAGTGCTTGCCCTAGATGCCCTGCCAACACCATGTTCATCATCAAGCAAGTCATTGATGATGTCAAGGTGGGGGAATTCATCTCCCAACACACCCTGCATCTGCCGCCCAGATGTACATGCTGGAAGATCAGCAGAAACGTGCTCATGGGATACAGTATGCATAGAGTTGTACAAGTCTAGCTTTTGAATATCATCAAGCAGGGAAGAAGGATCAGAATGCAAGTTTCTACTTGTATCCCTCTGAGGACTGTCCACCCACTGGGGTCCACTCTGTAAGACATCTCGGTTAACCATGCCAAAAGGAAAGCCTGACTGGACCGTGTTTGGCTCTATCCTCTCCGAATTCTGGGATAAGAACACTGGCGTGGAAACCAACGCAGACTGTTGTGAATATGCTGGTGATTGGTTCACTCCTGAACTTGGGGGGTTATGGTGAGTGTAACCAGAGGAACCAATAGGATTACCAACTATGGCATTTCTGTAAGACTGGGGAACAAAGCTTTGGGTAGAGGGCGAGGGATCAGGACCCAACCGACCAGCTGCACTCACAGAACGAGCAAGTAGTGGAGCTGTTTGAATGATAGAAACAACTGGAGCAGCTGGCCGAGGACCAGGGATTAGAGGAGCACTAGATGGCCTTGACATTACAGGAACTGGCTGTGTAACAGGTTTTTCAGCCAATTTAGGAGCTGAAGTCTTTTGGGTTTCAGATTTGGATGACCCCACATTTTGAGATGGAATACTCAAACATGTTGCTTGCTCAGTCTGCTGTGGGCTGCTGGGAGATGCTTTCCTAACTGGAGCCAGATCCACAGTCGAAGCCTTGTACTCTGACTTCAATTGAACAGTGGATGATATGTTTCTGGGAGGGCTTATGGGAGAGGATGATACAGCAGCCGTCCTCTCTTTTGGCCGTTCCATATCAACTGGGTCTCTGATGCTCATTTTCTTTTGCATCATAACTTCTTCCTGCACAGGAAGATCTCCATTATGGCATATTCATTAACAATATACAGTAGAAAAAGGTCTAAAAGCTTCAGCAATTTCAAAAAGCCAACCAAATTAAGAATAAAACATCTAAATGATTTTAGTCACTTGATTGGGGCAATCCGTAAATTGCAACTGACAGTTCTGCTCAAAATTTGATCCTTTAACTTGCCACCTCTAAACAAGAAAAACTAACAAAATAAAAGAAAAAAAAAGAAGGATTGAGAGCATTCTTACCAAACACCAAACAATCAGTAAGAAATTGTCTTATATAACGGATTGGAAGAGAAAGCTAATACAAAGTCAAAAGTATGGATTCAAAAGCTGAAACACCCTGGAAATTCACTGTCAACCATTTAAAAAGAACAGAAAGATACTTTTTTATGAAATAAAAAATAATGTACGAACACTAAAGACAATTAAGCAATCCCACCTTAACAACATGCTTCTCAGGCAACTTTTTCGTATCTTGCAAGGAAACAACAGCCTCAGATTCAGATTCACCAGCCTTGCTACTTTCAGACGCATCATTTTGATCCACTGCATCTGTTGCAGGCCTTGAAGGCTGATTATCCATTTCATTTGGCGAACTATGGCCATCAGAAGTTGTCTTAGTCCGGGGGGTCTTTCCTCTGCAAAGCCAAAAGAAACAAACAAATTAAGTACCTTATATGGTCAGTAGCATAAAGAAGAAATGTAGGTGTATCTTCACCTGCCAGGTGATTTTTTATTTTGGTAGCTTGAAAAGCTCCCCTTGTAAGGTCCATTCAGTATTACTGATGGGACTGAGTCTGTAGAGCATGTTGAGGAACTATCATCCATTTGAGATGGACTCTTTTTGTCAGCTACTCCATTTGGAACAGACAATAAACCACTAATCACACTGCTGCTGGCTTCTGTTGGAGGATGGACTTCAGATGCGTCAGTATCCCAATTAACAGGGCTAGCATCCCTGTCTTCTGAATCAAGCTGAATTGTTTCAGCAGCACCATCAACTGAATCAGACACATCAGAAACATCCTCAAGCCTGTCAGGCTTCTCAAGCACAGGTTGGACTCCCTCACTAATGTTATCACTTTTCTCGTCAATGGGGTTTTCTGCAAGAAGCCTGTCTTGTACTGCTCCACTCATCCTTTCCTCCTTCCCTTTATCCTTGCTTTTCCTGTTGTTCCGTTTTTGTTTACCCTATGGTGCAGATGAAACGACAGAAAATGTATCAGCTTCCTGTTTGTGAGGGAGGCAGGAGGAACCTTTTCTCCTGCTGGCTATATCTCCACCCAGGTTGTGATCACAAATATAAACACACTATATGGTGGGGGACCTTTTGCAGGAAGATTGGTGATATACAAACAGAACAGCAAAGTGATCCACATGGAAACAAGGTAGACAAGACATGTACATATATAGTCTTAAGAATAAAAAACAAAAGTCGGTATGATGAACACACATCCAAAACCTTATGGTGTATTGACACAGTCGGATCACCAAGTCACAAGATTATTCTCATAAAGCAGTAGACAAAGACCAAATAGTCAAGAAGATTATTGCCTGATAACTCTTTTTTGAGATAAAGATTATTGCAAGATAACTAAAAAGGTAAAATAACAATCTTTAATCCCAGAGTCCAAATAGTCCTTTCCTCGCCACTGGTCACATATCAGTCAACGCATGCATAAACAACACACTCATCAATATAAGTTTCTTTGCTAGAAGAAGATCCAACGTGACTATCTCCCCAGCCATCATGGTCATAACTTGTTTAACTAACTGGTAGAGGTTAGTACTTTATAAAGGGAAATCGATTTTAAGCTCAATTATCAGCATGGTTAACAAATGTATCATTATAATTCTTTTTTGTACTATCATACTAAAACTAGAAAACTTCCATTTTCTGATTAAGTATAAAGGAGAGTGTTGTATCAGCTCATGTAAAAGAAAGACAGGAAAAGGAAATACATATAAAGATCCACACTCAATCCAAATGTTAGTTATGCAATCTTTTATATAATTAAAATCACATAACACTCTTTCCAAACAAAATTAAATATAGCTCCTCAATGTGAAGAACTACCCAGAAAAGATTTATCTTATATCTTCTCAACCTTCATACTTTTTCATTGGACAAGATGCTCCTTTAGTTGCATTCAGCATTTTCATGTTCATTCCTCTTTAGTATTAACAAAAGATGCTAAGATGATGGCAATAAGTTATTAAAGAGAGCAAAAAAAGAGACAGAAGGTTTTATCCTTTTTTCTTTTTTGGCAGACCCATATGGCTTGTAAAGGGTAACATAGGAGCAAATATGCCATTGAATTAACATGCTCAGGCAAGAGAAGATTTATCTATTTGTTACTGTATTTCATACAAAATTTGATACACATCATCTAACTTTTTTATTTCAGCCATGACATTTGGAACTCAAGTTAAAATATAGTACCTGTTTTTTCTTAGATTTCTTCTCCTTGTCATTTGCTCCTCGTTTTGCCCTCTGTTCACTCTCAGCCAGCCATGCTGCCTCCTCTTCGCGAATGAGCTCCTCCTGTCTTTTCAAAGCAATTGCTTCTTGATATGCAACTTCAATTTTATTGCTGCATAAAAAGGACTGAAAGGTAAGTTTATCTAAGGGAGCAAGGAGCATGTAAGAAACAACACTGTGCTATCGAGGAAAGAAAAAAGTGATTGAAATGCTACATCCATACAGTAACTAAGTCAAATAATAGCTCTCTGCTATTTACCAATATGATGTATCTATAGTTTCCATTTATGATAAATCCCTTGTTCCTACAACCAGAACAGGTGGAAGATATAATTTTAATTTCCAAAACTTCCAACTTGTATCCTACTTGCCAGACTACTAGGTAAAAGCCTTAAAGCCAACACATTAAACAAATATCATAGTTTCTTTTGAGTTATGACTCATATTCAGAGGTTTCTATCACAAGGGGCATTCTCGTAAATCTGGGTTTTCTCCTTTCACTATATACGGTGAAAGCTCTAGTGTAAGAGACGATTTATCATACGGTGAAAATTTTTCCACAACTCTGTGGAGTAGGAATGGCTGCAAACTACATTAAAATCTTCTAGTTCTTTTTCTTTTTCTCTCTGATCGCTTTTTAAGATGCGTACATCGTGTACATGACTTTCGACAGTTTCTACACTGCACCGACAAAGTAAAACACTGAGGATCCCACAACCTGAAAAGAGACACGCTCATGATTTACAGTACTATAATTTTCTCCTAAAACCTTCTTGGACTTAATCGTATAAGCAATTTTCCTTATGGAATCTGCAACCAATATTTCCTAAGAAATTTCCCTCATGAAACCCATCACAACAAACGGCATGTCACCGCCTATTCAAGCACAAACTTATTTATAGAGGCACCTCAACAACATGTGAACATCCAATAAAACAGTTAGATTGCATGCAAGAAATTTTTAGAACACAATTTTTAGTTTTGTAACATTCAAAAATATTTAATCCTTGAATCACTTTATTCTTGAATATACATGTATCTGGAAAGAACAAACATTTTAGGAAGCAAAGAAAAAAGCTCATAATTAACACACGGTGATCAAACATGTAATACCTAAATATATGGGCAAGGACAAATATTTCCACAGTCCTTCGGCCCAGTTCTGTGAGACGCCTTTCATCACGTTCAACGCCTTCCTTGTTAAAGTCATCCCCAGAATTTCCGTCCTGCATACAAGGGAAAGGGTTGCCACACCATTTGTAATTTTGTATCATTAGTATTAAAACATGATGGAAAGGAATAAAATTCATCATGCAAACACACAATCATACACATCACTGGGAATCATAAGTATGAGTAAATTATATGCAACGATCTAGAAGTAGCAAGGGGAAAATATTAAAGATATATGTATAAGGGCTCAAATTAATCCTAGAGGTTCCAAGAAGTAAGGAAAATTTTTGATATTTTAGTTGTACAACCACCATAAGGACTCCAGATAAAAGCTGGGAGCTCCAAATAGAACTCATCTTAAATCAACTCCAACAAGAGACAAGATGATGGACTAGGATCTATCTGAAATCAGTTTAATCTATTGAATAATCTTCTGCAGAGAACCTCTTAAGAGTACTCAAGAAACAAACTAAAAGAATTTCCAAGATCCAATCTGAAATTTATATGTCTAAAAGACCTGAACCCTTTTTGTTTGCTCTCTCAATGTGCCTCATTCAGAGCATTCTTTAGAGTGGCTGCTGACATATGCTTATAGATGCCAACTAGGAACCCACTTAAATCAGAAACTGATATGAAAGTGTGTCAATTGATGAAATGGAAACAATAGAAGAATAACCATTTAGTTTATCTCACTTGAGGAATGAGAACAACCCTTTGGTGGAGTAAATTGCATTTGCTGACACCAAAAGATTGTTCATTTTTGTTTTTTCAAAAAAAAAAAAAAAGAATGAACCTTCAGTATCAGAAAACACAATTTACTCCAGCGACAAAGAGTTCTCCAGTTCAAAATGACAAAAACTCTATGCAGCAGAACCCCGATCTACATTGCAACCATGTAAGACTGCCAAATTTTCCACTAGCGCAACTGCTAGACACATGCTATAACAAAAATCCTACAACTACAACTGACAACCCACCATTACCATTTCCAAAATCCCACCACCTCTTATCAGAAAATATAATTCACCCCACAAGGGAAAGTTCTCCAACCCAATCCCGTATTACTACCCAACACTACCAACTCGTTCACTACCTCAACTGCTAGCATACCACATGCAATAACAAAAATTCTTTTTCTTTTTTGAG